ATATATATATATATATATATATACATATATATATATATATATACATATATATATTTTGAGATTGGTGAGGCTAGCAGTACAACTAGCATGACCGTCAGGCGTCTGATGGTTACTTTAAGTTTCTGGATATCACCTTGATGTAGCCACATGGCCTGTACGGTTTATTAATAATTGGTTGCGAGGTTTATGCTGATTTTTAGGGAAGATTCGAGTACCAGAGTCAAAATCATGTTTCATCAAAACGTATTGTTGGCGATTCTGTACAGGGGAACAAAGCAAACATCGAGCTGATTACCATCGAGTATTTAATGCTTCAGCATCACGTCAGTTACTGATTTTCTATGTTGCTCATTTTAGCAAGTACTTAGACCTCACTGCTGCTGACCTCATGATAACGTAGCATGAGGCTTTTGCTGATGGCGGATGCCGCATATAAGTCGACTGCTAGCACGAACATCACCCTTACTTTAACTTGAAAAAAAACTTTTTATCATTTTGCCGAGCTTGGGCATAGGATATTCGAATGGTTCGCGCTGCTTTTTAGAGCTTTTTGAGTAGCGATGATTAGCTCCTTAGCGAAATTTTCATTTTTTGCAGTTCTGCAGCGTACGAATGAGCGGCATCAGTTGACTGGCGGCACACTCTCCTAAGTAGCACCGCTGTGATTCAGCTAAGTGATTTTTTGCTCTGATTTAGCTATTCGATTGCAGAAGCGTACGATGGCTCGGTCTGGTTATTACTTCACCACACAGCACCTGAAGATAATGCAGCTACTCGTTCGGCTAGGCACCAGTTCGTACAGTGCAGTAAGTTTCCTTACACTCCTCCATGCTTCGGGCGGGCAATACGTCTGGTAGTAAATCCAAAGGTTTTCGTGACCGAAAACCTGCATTAATTGCTGATCACCCTGCTGGTGAACTTGGCGTTCGCTTAAGCAGTTCTGGCTTGCGGTATTGTAGGAAGGAGAAGGGGCACTGTTGTTTTGCGATATTGTAAGCACTGTTATGGTTTTGTTACAGGTCCGTATCGATGCCCAGAGGATTTTGGACGACTGCGTGCAATCATTTCCATATTCTTATCTCCTAGTCCTCGACGAAATTCTTGGCTTTCTCAAGGAATCAAGTGACATATCCCATGAACAATTTAAAGTATGTTTTTATAGGCGTGAAAAAACTGATATCCAAAAAAATTCGTGCATTTGCAATAATTTTGCTGTTACTTCGGTTTTACAATTCGATTTCTTTTCAGGGAGCTTTATACATGCTTCTGTATGGAAAACGATCATCGATCTGTGTTCGGCAAAGCTGGCAAACACTGTTCCGGGTCTGGCCAGCGCTTGTAGAAGCCCAGCATTCCGAGAAGCCGTCCGTGATCGGACTCATCGAGTTGGCCCAAAATACTGTTGTTGATAATTTCGAATCTTTTCAGATCAATTTCAAGGTTATTTCGATTTTTATTCAATTCAGTACATTAACTTCTTAGCGCAATAAGCCGATCAGCTTGGGTGTGTGGGTGTATTTTTTATTAAACTAGCGAGTAAATAGGTGGAGCCAGGGACGCAATTGTGCCCCTTAATTTGCATACGTAGCAGCTGACAGCTGGGCTCCCTTTGCACTGCTTTAGCTCCTGATAGTATTATGCAATTCAAGAAATAGGAATAGAGCAAGATACATGTCTTGATACTTAGTTCGACCGACAGTGCCATTGTGGTGGAGCAGTCTCTGTCGCAGCTGTATCATCAGCTTATGTGGCATTGTTACGGGAAAAAACATACCACATTCATTAATTTCAATACGACGTGGGCAAAAAAATTTTTTTGATCCAATCGTTCACTGATCGCGGTAACACCGATGTATATGCTTGCTAACTGCAGGTGCCAGATGGCGCGATTGCAGCGGCGTTCCAGTTCTATGGTGGTGAATCTGGCGAAAGCATTCATCGGCCGGCATGGCCACTACCGAGCGCTGAGGAAATGGAAGCTGCTCGCAAGAGGGAAATTGCTGTATGCAAAGAGAGAGAACGGTAGTCTCCGTTGAATCTTTTTACCGTACTGGTTCTTTCAGGACTGGGCAATTTAATCTTTTTGCGGCACTGGTTTTTTCAGTAATAGGCAATTTTTGGGTTGAGAAACTGTATTCGGCCAAAAGCCGTCAATTCTTTTGCAGCAACTATATGTTTGCTGAGAGCGGTCTAGCTCAAAAGCATATCGCTGAATGGACTGGACGATAAAGCCATCACTCATCCGGCAGCAGCAAAACGAGCAAAATTCGTTGCATAGGATATGAAAAGACATTTTTTTGTGCTCGTCGCGTAGCATCGGAACCAGTGACACATAGCTCCTGTCCAAACATGATTTTCTGTATGAACACTCGCTGTATAAGTGGAGATTCTTTGCGTGTCTCCTTTCTTAGTC